CAAGTGAACTTAATGCTTTTATCCCAGCAAGAAAATGCACTTGATAAATGTAACTTTAACAAAATTTTGAAAGGGCAAACTTATCATGTAAATCAAACTCCTAAAGCAAATTCCTGAAAATAATAAAAAAAATTAATACTAACACTTTAACTTGTATATGTTCTAATAATTAAAATTTTGGCTACATTTAAAAATGAAACATATAGAAAATATTTCTTGTATTAATACAGAGTATATTATAGCCCTTATAATATAGAAGTAGGAATAAAAAGTTTATTTTTATTAATTTGGGAGGCCATAAACAACAGGGGTCAGGGCTTACTCCTGGCTCTGAGCTCAGTGATCACTCATCGTGGTGATCAGGGGACTATATGGGGCATGGGAATTGAAAGCAGAGTGGTCACATGCAAGGCAAGCACGCTACCCACTGAACTATTCAATGCTCTGGCATCAAGAATGAAAAAGTTCGAAAGCAAGTCTATTCATGAATATCTTACCTAATCTCTTCTTGGATATTTTAGAGTTTTCACTGTATTATTTTGAAAGAATTATTTCAGGCATAAAGACAGTCAAGCAAGTGATGTACTTGCCTTTCATGCAGGGACCCAAATTTGTTTCCCAGAATCCTACATAATCCCCTGTATACCACCAGGAATGATTCCTGAGTGCAGAAACAGGAGTATGACCTAGACACAGCCACGTACAGCCACTCCAAAAAACTATTTCTAATTTATAGTACTATATTAGTTTTTGGTTTTGAACATAATAGTCTAGATGATACTATGTGTAGAATTTCATAGAAATATATAAATAACACTGTTATATGAATATTATCACTGTCCTCCCATTGTTCATCGATTTGCTCGAGCGGGCCCAGTAACGTCTCCATTGGAGACTTTGTTGTTACTGTGTTTGGCATATCGAATACATCACAGGTAGCTTGCCAGGCTCTGACGTGCGGGCGAGATACTCTCGGTAGCTTGCCGGGCTCTCCGAGAGGGGTGGAGGAATCGAACTCAGGTCGGCCATGTTGGCTGACATACAAGGCAAACGCCCTACCGCTGTGCTATCGCTCCAGCCCTTGAATATATAATGAATATATGTATGACTTTTGTTAGATTGAAGTCAAGTAGCTACCATCACAAAAGAGAGATAAGAAAATCATGAAAGTGAAGTTAAATGATGTTTCTTTAATAAGTTCTGTTATCCCACTTACTTAAAGCTGGTAACTGAGAGATGATATCACCATGAAGTATTCATTATCTCACACGTAGCAACAACTCCCTGAATGATGCCAAGCCTTTATTACACTTTTAAAAATTCTAATATTAAAGTATAGGCATTCTTTTTCAGACCACAACACCCAAAAGGAGAGTGAACAAAAGGGAATGCCCTGCCACAGAGGCAGGGTGGGATGGGAGGGATAGGTGTGGGAGGGATACTGGGATCCATGGTAGTGGAAAATGGTCACTGGTGGAGGGATGGGTATTTAATCATTGTATAATCGAAACCCAAGCACAAAAATTTGTAAATCTACAACTGTATCTCGATGGTGTTTCACTAATAAACATTAAAAAAAGGTATAGGCATGCTAATTTTTACTCTAAACAGCAGATTGTAGTTAATCGAACCTGCTAGTTATCCTTGAATAATCATAGACCCTTACAAAGATAGAATGCTGATTACTTCATGTATGTTTGAAGATTCTAAATGTGTTTAATTTTTCAAATATAAGTATTTCTACTTATCCATTATCTTCACAGCAATCCTATAACATGGGAACTATTATTGATATTTTCCCATTTTATATGTAAAGAAAATTGGTTAGAAAAGGTACCTAGCTATTAGAATTTATAAATATAACTAAAAACAGTTTTTAAAAAACATATAAATTTATTTCTAGTGTTTTCCCAGAGACACTTATACATTAATTCACATAGCTCACTCTCTTTCTTCAATTTCTTCTCAAATAGTATTTTATTTATATATACTTACATATTTAACTTTGCAGATTCTCCTCCCCCGCACAAGGCTGTCTTCACCAGGCCACTCGGAGGGTGGTGGGTTGAGTCTCCCTCCCCATCACAAGTAGAGCCCCGGCAGCCGAAAACCTCCAGACCCTAGCCACAGCCATGCTAAAGGCCACTCTCCACATACTCAGTCGAACCTCACGCATGAAGGAACTGGCAGAGGAATCCAGGCATGCAGGACCCTTGGCTGAGATCTACAAGACTGCTCAGATCAGGACTGGGCCTCCTCCACCCAGACCCCCAGTTTTCCAGTAGCTTGGCAGTCACACCCACAAACTGTCCCGGGGCACCATGTAATCTCATCAATGGCCAAGAGCCAGAGACTATAAAAAAAAAAGCTCCCTGGAGAGAACAATGCAGTATTTTCTGGACCAAGACCTCAAATGCCAGTGGACCAAAAGCTTGCATTCAGTAGACTGGAAACATCTGTAAAAGCGATTAGAGGCTGCCCCAAAAGTCTCTGTCCCTCTCAGAGTGCCCAGCAAGCTACCAGGAGTGTCTCGCCCATACGGCAGAACCTGGCAAGCTACCCATAGCGTATTCAATATGCCAAAAACAATAACAATAATGGGCCTCATTCCCCTGACCCTGAAAGAGCCCCCAATATGTCATTGGGCTATGCTAGCATGCGGCAGGGACAAATGGAGACGTTATTGGTGCCTGCTTGAGCAAATAGATGTACAACTGAATGACAAGTGATACAAGTGATATTTTTCAACTTTATCCCTTGGTGTTCATCATAATTCATTCATTCATCTCATCACTTAAAACTTACTAAGCTAGTCAAAGTTTTTCTCTAGAATCCAAGAGTGTTTGAACTATATTAGTGAATTCTTAAAGACTGACACACAGTAGGTGCATAATCAATACATTACAGAAGCTCACCTTGGTAGGAACTTAGTTTCTAGGCCTCTAAGATAAGTTATACGATCCTTTTAACTGTCAATACAGAGAGATATTCTTCACCATATTGGGGGAAGCTTTATAATGTTGAAATGTTATATTTGAAAAATGAGGAGAAATATAAAACAGGGAAGTAGAAGGAACAGTTTGTGCAAATAGTAAATTTAAATAGCAGTAAAAAAAAAAAGCATAATAAGAACAGCTGCCTCCATACCTCCAGTCAGACTCTGTCATGTCACAACTGATCCCACAGGGATACTAACCTGCTGAAAATTCCAGGTACACTCGGTTTGGTTTCGCTGAAATCCCTGGCCTTCCTGGAGTTAGGATGGGCAACCTCCCCTGACCTCCCAGCAGCCATACTAACATCCAATATAAGTAATATAAGTTCATCTACCAGCCCTGTTCCAGAGACTCATAAATAAGTCTTAAAAGAGATCAACTAGCCACAAAAATTTCCTTGGATACCCTTTCCTGGCTGAGATATTATCAAGGCTGTCTCGGGAGCGGTGTGGGGGAGGGGGAAGGGGGAGGGACACAAATGGATAAGTTTCCACCCCAACAGCTGCACTCATACCACCATGACTCCAGTTGGACTGCCAAGTTAAATATTTTAGATTTTTCTGGGGTAACATCTCCAAACTCTATAATACTAACATCCCAGTAGGAGCACACGAGATGGACAGGAATGTAATGTAGAAACCAACTAATCTCAACTAACAAAAACAGTTAGGAAGAAGGCTTAACGATCAACAACAGCTCAGTAAACCCTTAGACAAGAATTTAATGACTCCATGATGAGATACAACAAATTTCAAAAATGTTCTCCTTCTGAAGTACTTTTTGGTCATTCTTTCATTAGCCATTCAGTAGAAACAAGCAATGTAAAATTAATTATTGTGGGCCTGCCATGCAGGCTTGAGGGCTAGTAAATACAACTATTTATTTATATCAATGATCAGTGCTTCTTATCTAACAACACTAAATTATGCACAATAATAGATTTTCTTTTTTTAATGGTCCATATTAAAAAATATGAAATTATATTTTGTAGTCAGAGTAATGAAAGTAACCACATTAGATTCAATTTCACAGTATCTATCTCTAAATAATTATTTGGCTTTGGGGTAGCCATATAACCACTAGAAATACCTTTCTCATTATTAACTAAAATAGGCAGTTTACAGAGCTCTTAAAACTCCTTCAGCTCTTAAATACTAAAACTTCATAGACTGAGGCTTCCATTTATACTATAACTGAAAAAAACATAAAAATGTTATCTTATTGTCACCAATTAACAAAATTTATAAAGAAGAAAATCCATGCAAATATGTAATACTGGATCCTAATAAATATCTTGTATATTATCAAAATACCATTAAATATAAATTTTATGCCCAAAATATAAAGCAGAAAAAAATTAGCAATCTAATGAAAATACTTTTGAATGCTTTTCTATTAAGAAAAATCTCTCTAATCTCACAGCCTTTAACACAATAATGACCTCCTAAAAGAACATTTTAGTGACTGGCATAAAACCCTTGGCTTTTTTTTTATGCTACTTTGACTTTTAAGTTATTATCTGTCTGAAGAGCTCCTCCAAATCAGAACTATTATAGAATCTACTCCTAAACCACTACTTGGCAACAAAGATGAATCTACCTATTACCAGGTTAGGATAGCAGCTATTATCAGGGTCCCTGAATTTCTTTCAAGTAGCTCCAATGGAAAAAGCCACAAGTGAATAATAAAGATCTCATAATAGCTCTTAAGAATTCTTTATATTGTAGAAAGCACTAAAATGAACTCCAGAGAGTTAGAAAGGGGAAAAAAATCCTCTCATCTCCTGATAAGAAAAAATAATTAACCTGACTTAATGCATCAGAGAAGGCTGTCTATAAATCAGAATTCTGTTTTTCAAGAGCCAGATTAAAACCATATATCAAAAAGTGTGTAGACATTGTTTCATAAGTACACATAGAACACTTCTGAATCTGCAGAGGTTTATAGGTCCTTTGTGAAATGCTCGAGACATTCTACTTAAAAGGGAAAGTGTGAAGTACTTACAGTGCTTAATTTACTGGAGGTAATAATGATGCGCCTTTCGTGTAGCATAGAGGCATACAGTTGCAGCATATTGTTCACATCCACAGCGACAAAATATTCTGTCAGGTTTCTCTGTACCAGTGAAAAATAACTGTGTAGGTTACCAACTTGTGATCATGAATAAAGACATTTTATTCATTTATCAAAAAGTCTTCAAGTTCAAAGGATGTGATTAGTAAAAATGGCATTCATTAAAATAATTAAATTTAATACGGTTCTGCTGCCACGCAAAGCCTGTAACATTCTATTATTACTGGAAACACAACACTAACTCCAGGAAACTGGTTGTTCAGAAGGTAATCAGAGGATCAAATAATTTCCTACTCTCCTTCCCTAAGTACTTGTAGAAAAAGTTAATTTCCAGAGCCTCACCTAGAGCTGAACTGTAATGCTCAGAGTATGGCCCAAGAACCTGCTTTCCAAACAAATACTCCTGTGGATCTTAGATACACTGAACTTTGAGGACTGGTACTCCAGAAAATACATTTGAATGTTTTAACAATTCTCACACACTCAGCAAGCAATATCACCGCTGGATACTATTTTCAATGCACTCGAAGAAAAATTTAAAGAGGCAAACTTTGATTTTTCATTAAAAAAAAAATCTCTTGTTTATTCCACAATGCTAGGCCTAATTTGTTATGGCAGTGTAACTTTATTCCTCTGTTTAACACATCAAATTATTTCCCCTATATAGGAACAAAACTGGGATAAATTACATTAACTTTAATGCATATTCTTCAATGTTCAAACATTAATTAGCACATGATGAAGTAACAAATCAGGAAGAACAAATTAGTTTTGTCTTTTCACAGTAGCAATAAATTTTCTGGATTCATATAACTGAAATCTTATTGGTCTTGGGGTTTGATACAAGAATTTTTTAAAGTTCTTCTTGTACTTCTACCCACAAACTTTTGAAAATAAAATACTCCATATGTTTGAAAACATTTTTATATAATTTTAAGTGAATTATTTCCATTGGTTCCTTTTCTTTCTCAAGGAAGCTAAAATTCTTCTGAAAGAAAATTTCCTTTACATCCAGCATTCCCCAAACATACTACTCCCACTTAGGCAAAAGAAAATGCTTTTTCAAATTAATATTAATTTACAATAACTATTACAACTGAAAATATTTCTAGTATAAATAAGACTAAATAAAATGCACATTTTGGCTTTTTTATTTTTATTTTTATTTATTTATTTTTTTTTTTTTTGCTTTTTGGGTCACACCTTGCGATGCTCAGGGGTTACCTCTGGCTCTGCATTTAGGAATTACTCCTGGCGGAGCTTGGGGGACCGTATGGGATGCTGGGGATTGAACTCGGGTCAGCCACATGAAAGGCAAGCACCCTCCCCCGCTGTACTATCGCTCTCACCCCCATTTTGGCTATTTTTATATCTTACAATATCCTTCAATCCTTACAAAATATAAAATTCTTAAAACCAGGAAATCAAGTAAAGAACATCTAAGATTTGAACAAAATACATATAAGATATATGAAAAATAAAAATACTATGGTCAGTTCTAACTGCTAGTTATGAAACAAAAATATTTAATATTGTCATTAATCATTCATAACCTAGTCAGCAGAATTCATCACCTAAGATATGCCCCACCGTGTCTGGGCCAGAAAGGCTCTAAACATAAGTAAATATAAAGCAGTCTACAAAATGGGAGAAATAGATATTTTCATAGATATTTTCCTGAATTTTCTACAACTAGATATCAGGAAAAGAAGTAGAAAATAAATAGTTAAAGTGTATTCAATGTCTCAATACAGAAATTCTTAAACTATGAGAATAAAACAAATAAAATTTATAAATGAGTAAAACTAAAACATGGGCAACAAAACTCACACTCTCAGGTATTGTTGGGAGTCCAGTTACGTCAGGCGCAATGAAGTAGGAATGCTGATTAACAGAAACAAATCAGATGAGAAAAGAAATATAAGAATCTGGTCATATTAGGTATAATTTGAGATAAAAATAAGGAAAATTTAGTTAATTTCCTTATTTAAATTTAAATTTAGTTAATTTCCAAGGGCAATTACTGATGATTAGAATTTGTTCAATCTGTGAGATTCCTATGAAATAGTGGGCATATGAAATTTAACATATCTTTACATACAAATAATTCAATCTTAGATAAAAATATTTTAATTTTTTAAGCTGAACATAAATTAAATAAGAATCATTTTTAGAGTTCATTAAAACAATAAAAGAATATACATATACACGTATCTTATATTCACCCAGGAATACATCTAAATCTATTAAAATTGCTGAATTTCTATAACAAATTACAATATATGTCTCTGTACAAAGCAGCCAACATATTATTTATAAAATCAGCAATAAGATATTTAATGTTGAAATCTCTTAAAAAATGTAATCAGTTTCTCCAAAATTATTGACATTTATTAAATACTAATTTGCTTCTATAATATTGAGAGCACTATAATAGTTTTTAGATATGTAAGTTTTATAAAGCATATTCTTTTCCCAAATTTTACCACCCAGAATCAGAATAAAATCAACAAAATTGTTTTATTTTCTGTTCATAATAATCTCAATTATGTTGATATAATCTTCACAAAAGTAAAAACTTCAATACTGTCTTATAATTAAATAATAAACATAATATTCTATAATATTTGATATTCTAGCCAATACTGGGTATAGCTGAACCAGTCAACACAAGGTTAGTTAACCCAGTCATTACAGTCAATATTTCAGGGCAGAGGAACAATATGAGATAAATCACAGATCTCATAAAATAACTCATAAAGTCTTATGACAAAGGTGTGATAGAAATCTCATATTGTGAATGCTCTTGGATACTGGAGAATACACATAGATCTGGCCAGAATTTCTATTATTCCCTTTTAGTGGGAGGTGGGGGATAGGGGTTAAATGGTATTGTATTTTATAAAACTATGCATTAAAAGATAGTATAAACAGAAAATACATTCTAAATGATAAATTTTCTTTAAAGAGACAAATTATCATTTCCCAAAGGACAGCCATGAATCTTAAATACACAGTGAAAGAAGTGATTATCTTCCCAATTTGATGGTCATTTTTGGAAACCAATGTCCCTTTAACTCACCGGTACTAGGGAGAGCTGATCTTTCAGAACTTGCTCACTGGCAATAAATATCTCTGGGTTCTTATAATATATGAGAGAAAAATGAATATTTTACTTGCATGGGGGAAGTTTACACAACAATTTGCTGTGTACTTGAGAGAAACCCATGAAGGCGTATCATTCACTATAAAAACTTAAGTATCCCTCCCGCTCCCATGGGAAATGGGCACTGGTGGAGGGATGGGTATTTGATCATTGTATAATTGAAACCCAAGCACAAAATTTGTAAGTCTACAACTGTACCTCATGGTGTCTCACTAATAAAAAAAATAAGTAAATAAATAAAAACTTAAGTAACTTTAATTATAAATGTTTTATTAAATGCTGATCTGTTAACTTTATGTTAGAAAAATATTTAAAGAATTTTCATACTGCTAAGGAGAGAATGTTATGAATATGCAATGATTTGGAAATGCAGATTTTCAAAGAAAGCATGTACACTGGATAATTGTCTGAATTTTTGTGATACTCTAACAGTTACTATGTTGTCATTAAAAACATTCATGTGCTGAATTATCCATGAAACACAAAACTGTAAGAGCATATACAGAAATTTCTTAAGACTCATTGCAGTTTTGTAATAGAAATTCTGCAAACAAAAATTTTCTTTTTGAAAACTCCCTAGTTCAAACTATGGTTACCACTGTGGTGAGACATAGGAGGAGGGAGGATATGAAGGGATAAGTCTAACGAACTGAAATACCTGTAGTTTAGTTGTGACTGTGATGTAGGAACACATACTCTGAAAAGGCATAAAATTATACTACTAAAATGTATTGTGTATTGGGCTGGAGCGATAGCACAGCGGGTAGGGCGTTCGCCTTACAAGCGGCCAACATGGCCGACCCGAGTTCGATTCCTCCGCCCCTCTCGGAGAGCCCGGCAAGCTACCGAGAGTATTCGATATGCCAGACACAGTAACAACACAGTCTCCAGTGGAGACGTTACTGGGCCCGCTCGAGCAAATCGACGATCAACGGGAGGGCCTTTACCTTTACCTTTACCTTTACCTTTACTAAAATGTATTGAGTCATGCAAACTATAGTTATCTCAAGAGGAAAACAATTTCCTATGATTGTCAAATAAATCAGTCACTATTAAACTAAAATTTCTGCTAGTAGTTCAAGCATTCTAATCACAACTTTGTCACTTATTAACATGACCATGGCATGTTATTTAGTAATTATCTGTTGAAATCAAATTGAATAACTGAATGGGCTTTACTCAAACTTAAGGCAATTATTTTATCAACCTGCGGAAATCATAAAAGCATTAGGCGTTGTAGACTGAAAATATGTGTACAAGATTTAAATGCTATTATTGGCTATCAATTCAAAAGTTCATAAGAATAATTCAAATTTAAATACAAAATCCTGAATACTAGCTTCTTATATAAAAATCAATTATAGCCCGGTTATTTATAAAAATGCAAACAGAACAATGTGCAAAAGTAGAAAACCAATTTAAGAAAAATGTAGTGAAACAGAAAAATAAAATGTTAGATAGAGGTTAAATACAAGCCCAGATATCCTGGCTAAAGGTTTGCACAAACTCAATAGAATGTATACTACAAAAGGTTGTCAGGAGGAAACTTTATGTAGCTTAAGGAAGTTTAATAGGACAGTCTTTGGAAGATGAATGGGAAGAAGCCACTGTTGACGATTACTTGAAGTGCTTAAGCACCTAAACTAGTGCTGACAGTGGGACTATAAAGAATGGAGGAATGTATGAGAACACTATTATTAAATAAAATTACAGTGGGCTACTTAGGCAAGAAGAAAGTTATCAACAAAGAAAGAAATAATGAGCATAACAATTTCCTGATTTTGCAAAAAGTAAAAGACCTATTATTACTAATTATTAGATATTTCAAGTTATTTTTCTTTCAATTTTTCTTGCTTCATTACATGCTTTGTTTCTTATTAAAACAGAAGTTTATCATTATTGGGGAAAAAACAAAAATTGATATGTGTTTGATATGTGTTAACATTATATTCACTATGTTAAATGAAGAATATTCATGAAAATATCTTATTTTAAAACCATTAACTTTGAACATTTATAAAATACCAAAAAAAAATTTATGTATTTTTTCTCATAGATGATGTAACTCAGTGAAAATTTCAATAGTTAATAATCTACACCACCACAGACTTGCTATTTTGACAAATCCCAACCACATTTTCCAGCATTTTGTAATTATGCTAAATCTAGATAAGTGGGAGGAGGAATATCTTCTCAGATATATGCTGTATGTCATATTTCAGATTTTATTGTGTACTGCCTTCATTATGTCAAAGGTATTTTATTGAGAGTAGGGAAGCATTTGTATGTGCATTTTACTAGCAAATTTTATCTTAAAAGTCAATGTCCCTCAAAATCAAAATATTCTCACAGATTTGTCTATGCCTAGTGTATAATTTTTTTAAATCTGACTAACAATTTCCAAAGTACACATCTAACATAGTACGACAGTTAAAGCATGCCAAGGTAGCTCTATATCATCTAGTAATGTAAGCATTAGTTCTACTGGGAGCAGAAGTACCTTGGCAGAGTTTTGGGACAATGCATTAAAAACATAAATAAGAAGCTGCTATGATCCTAAAAGGCCAACTACTGGCTAAATACTCACCACACTCAAATTGACAGGAGTATTTGACTTTGGTACCGGGTGATTATAGAGTGATTTAAGAGTTTCATTCAAATCACTCTCCTAGAGTTAAAAAAGTACGTTTTGTAAATAAATATATATATACACATATAAATATATACACATATATTCTAAGTAAAAACAGTTAAAACTAATAAAATCATGCACTGTACCTTCTTATTAATATAATGCAACATATTTTATATAACTCCTTTCCATGAAATGTTTAAAATAACTTAAATGGAAAAATTTAAATCTAGTAAATGTAGAAAATACATTAAAATCTCTTTATCTAGAAATACCATAGTAATATTTCTATGTAGTATAAATGTGGATTTGGCCAAACTTAATTATAAAATTACTGATGCTTCTATATAAGGATATTTAAATAATTAAATTCGAGAACAGTGAGACTGAATAAAATACACATAACTTTACATCAGATTACAGAATGCATTCATTTTCCAGTATAACTTTAAAATCTCAAAACCTTAGGCCAGAGAGATAAATGAAAAGGCTAAGCAAATATTCTGAATGTAGGAAATCTGTGTTTGATTCTCGGGTGGAGTAACCCCCAATACAGAGCCAGGAGCAACCCTCAAGCACCAACAGTAGTGATCCGCAAAAAAGCCCAAAAAATCTCCAGCCAAATATATAAAAAGCAGAAACAGTTTAATTAGATTATTGCAAAAAATGCAACATAGAGGTAATTCTAAATATTTCCCTATGGAGCCACTAGTCACTATCTGTTCTATGAGGCAACAATAAATGAGATCACTAGAACATATAAAATCTATTAGGAGTCACTCGAGCACAGAGACAGGAATAGTCCTCTGAGCATCCCAGAGTGGCCTACATCACACCCTGTCCCCCTCAAAATCAAAATTAAAAAAAGACTTTTGCTCTTCAAAGTAATTATCAAATGGAACCAGAGAAGCAAACAACTAGAAGTAGAGAAAATTTTTGAAACTTTGAAAAGTTTCAAAATTCGAAACTCATGTCTTAGAAGGTATTCGTACCTAAATAACTCTTACTACTCTTAAATAAAACAGGAGTTTAAAATAGAAAAAGGATTTTAATTTTGTCTGTGAATTTTAAAATAATTTTTAAAAGGGAAAAAACATATCTTACCAGTTCCTTAGCCAAGTAATCTGCTAACGTATTTAGAAGCTTGTAATACACTTCAAACCACGGTAGGTAGCTATATAAAAAGAATTGAAAAAAGGAGGCAGGTAACTATAAGAAATAACCATATGTGTAAACAATTTAGAGAAAAGAATCAAGAATTCAAAATAAATATTAAATTTATATAATTTCAAACAGCTTTATATTGGAGGACAGAAAAGACTTTATTGTTACAATGAAATTTCAAGTATTTTCTTGGTAATTTTTGTAAAAAATAAAAATACAAAACTCTATTATAAAGCTTATACATATTTTTGCTTTATTTTAAGATATCTAGATAACAATTCTATTGGCTACTTAATGGTTATCACCAGAATATTCATAGAACAATTATATAAAATTACATAAAGCACATGAAATAAGTTTTATGAAATTAAAAAGGTATATAAAACAAAAACTATGTTCAATAATCTTTTTTAAAAATTGCTGAGGTGATTATAAAATGTAATAAAATTACATACTCAATTTTTTAGAAACTGATTTTTATGTAAAATTTCAAAGCAACTATCAAACTATCAGAAAACCCATTATTAATATTTCAAATATTAAAAATAGTTCTTCACTATCAAAATACAAATTTAGGGGATTAAGACACAAGCTTGCATGTGGCCAACACTGGTTCCATCCCCAATACCACATGGTCCCCTGAACATCACTGGGCCCTACTGACTGTGCCCTTAGAGGACCTAACATTAGTTGGATGGCACAGGTAGGTCTCAAGCAGCACCATATCCTCAAGCCCTTGCATTCAACAGTCAGTACTGGGGACTCCTGAGCACCAATCATCCCTGGTGTCAAAAAAAAATCGGATTAAACTTAAAATTCATTGTGATTCACTTGCCTAGATATAAAATTTTTATTAAAATAAAATACTAAATCCACTTTGCACATAGCCAACCCAGGTTTCAATCCTTGGCACCCATATTGTCCCCTAGTCCCACCAGAATGATCCCTGAGCAAGAACAGGAGTAAGCGCTGAGCACTGTCTGGTGTGACCCCAAAACCAAGACAAAAAACAAACAAAATAAATTAATCATACAACAATAAGTCTATGCTTCTCATTAACAAATTGAGGCTATTTGTATTTAAAAATCTATTCAATGGTTTAATTATTTACTGAAAAGATATACTTTTGATAGAAAAAATATATATCATTAAAAAATCATTGTAGTCAATAACTATTTAACAAGTACTTTTTTCTTCCAATGAATTACAATAGGCTACTTTTTTTTCTTTTTCATTTTTTATTAGTGAGACACCATGAGGTACAGTTGTAGACTGACAAATTTTTTGTGCTTGGGTTTCAGTTATACAATGATCAAATACCCATCCCTCCACCAGTGCCCATTTCCCACCACCACGGGTCCCAGTATCCCTCCCACCCCCCATCCCCACCACTCCACCCTTCCTCTGTGGCAAGGCATTCCCTTTTGTTCTCTCTCTCCTTTTGGGTGTTGTGATTTACAAAAGAGGCATTGAGTGGCAATCATGTTTGATCTATAGTCTACTTTCAGCATGCTTCTCCCATCCTGGGAGGATCCTCCCAACACCCTTTATTTGGTGCTCCCTTCTCTATCTGAGCTCCCTTTTCCCCTAGCATGTGTGGTTGGCCTCCAAGCCATAGAGCAAAATCCCTGGTACTAATCCCGGCCACTCTTGGGTGTTAATCTCCTATTTTGTTACTTTATGTTCCCCAGATGAATGCAATCTTTCTATGTCTATCCCTCTCTTTCCGACTCACTTCACTTAAAACATGATACTTTCCATGTAGTACCACTTGGATGTAAATTTCATGACCTCATCTTTTCTAACAGATACATAGTACTCGATTGTGTAAATAGGCTACTTTTTAAGAGAAAAAGGTACCATAATTTTACTACATAATTTCTCACTGATGAAAGTACATATACATAAGACAGATTAAAACATTTTTTAATTCAATGATTATTAAAACTTAGAAAAACAGAGCCAGGGGATAGAACAGTGTTTAAGTCTCATGACTAACATGTGCCTGAGCTGAATTTGATCCCCAGGAACACACAGTCCCTTGAACATTACCCCCTAACACCTCAAAGGTGAGTGAGGTGATCCTCAAAACAGCATTCTTGTACCCATGCATTGACTTGCTAAACTGGTTGTCAGAGACTCACTAGAAAGGAGCCCTCTACTGAAAAAAAGTTAGAAAAACAGTACTCTTGCTGCATTGTTTTCATCAAATATCTGATTTAATAGTCACTATAAATGATGCATTTGGACTCAGGTGTATCCTAAAGTCATAACAGCATAATATAAAAACTATTAAGTACACTAAATCTTTAACATTGTCAGAGTTCTCTGAAGTGATACTTAAAAATACTACATAATTAAAGGAAAGACACCTATGATAGTTTAGATTAACCACCCAACTACAACGTGTGGCTAAATCTTGCATGATATACATAGAGCATAATATGTATATGTGTATACTGATATAGTTATGCATATGCACACATGTATAATGTTCAAAATACCATTAAATACTAAATTTGTTTATAATATAAATTAATGCATACAATAGAGAAAGGGCAAGAGACAGCAACACAGGCAAAAAAAAAGAGTATGATAACTGACTTATAGACAGAAAAGTCAAACATAAATACCAACAAAAGGTTAAATGATCAGAAGCCAGTAGATTTGCCCCCATATAATTTTAATATAGGACTCTTTACAAGGAAAAAATCTCAAAAGTATTGTTTTTCTCAGGGTGCTTCAGTATTTGTTAAATATTAGTATTATTTTCTTGGAATAAGGCCTACCACTGCTTATGTAGCACTGTAGCACTGTCCTCCCCTTGTTCATGGATTAGCTCAAGCAGGCCCAGTAACGTCTCCATTGTGAGACTTGTTACACTGCTTACTTACACTGTTAAACTTATGTAAGTTTTTCAAATCAGTTTAGTGTCTGTCTTAAACATAACACTACAACCACTAGAGCACTAAAGATCAATATTAACATAACAGGCACTCCAAGTAAATGAAACTAATCTCATGTAAAAACAGTTACATTTAAGAATAAATTGTGCAAAGACACAGAGAACAATCAGTCCAGACTAAAAGAAGAATGAGGAATATAACAGTGAGGTGATGGAACGGGATTTTTTAAGCAAAAGACAAAACAATAACAACCTTTAAGATTACTAATGTTTTTAATCACAAATTCTACATCTCAAATGATCACATCACAATTTCTATATTCACTATGACTGCAACCCTCCACTACTCAAGCAGCCCTCACCCTCCACCATCCACAGATCTCCAACACTTTCTTCATTCCGCTTCCTGTCCAGTTCTCATCCCTCCAAACCTCCCACCCATGTTCAGCGATTCATTTTGTAACCCATGGCCAAGGATTTGTTATTGTTGGATACTGCCTATTCCCTTGTTTCATCTTTCTATAGTACAGAGATAAGAGATTATCTAGTATCTGTCCATCTCCCTCTGACATATTTTGTATAACATAATATCCTCCAATTTTGTCCATGCTCTAATTAACTGAATAATTTCAATTTATCTTATAGCTGCATAGTATTACACAGATTATGCTTTCTGTGAACTTCTTCATTCATGTGTTATTGGCTATCTGGGTTGTTTCCATAATTTGGCTATTATACAATGCACTACAAGAAGTTATATTTTTTCAATTTAATCTTCTTGTGTTTCACAGGTAGACGTCAAGAGCTGGAGTCTCTGATGATATGTAAGTTCTAATCTTTTTTTTTCTTTTGAGAAACCTTCATATTGCTTTCCATAGAGATTGAACCAAATGACATTCCCACCACATCTAATATATGTGGGTTCATTTTTTATTACATCCTCACAACATTGGTTGTATCCAGGCTTTTTGACATATGCCATTGTCACTTTTTGATATATGTCAATCTTATTGTTGTCTGATTTGAAGATAAATGACAATGGGCACTTTTTTTCATATGCCCACCGATCATCTGTGTCTTCTTCAGTGATGTGTCTGTTCATTTCTCTCTTTTTGGGGTGAGCCTATTGGTGTTTATTGTTGAGCTTTCTGAGTGCCTTATTCACTTGAAAACTGAACATTTTCTATTACAAATAAACAACGTAATCAAGAGTAGAGGATACAAACTGGCTTCTTGCAAATCCTATCAAGCCCATGAGCATTAACTGTATATCTACAGTTAATGCTAGTAGTCAGTTTACGTAGTCAGTTTATAGAGCACCTTTTATATAATATCAGTTATTTCACTGAGTAAGATGCAATCTTCCAAATCTGAAATAATTCACTTAAATTTCTGAATTCCTTACATATCTACAAACCAGAACTAGGAAATACTGGCCATGTATTTTTTATATATATTTTTATTAGTGAAACACCATGAGGTACAGTTGTAGACTTACAAATTTTTGTGCTTGGGTTTCGATTATACAATGATCAAATACCCATCCCTCTGGCCATGTATTTTTTACTTTATACAAATCCCCAGTTTTCAGCTTTAGATGTGGTACATCTTGGATCAACTTACTCACTCTGACTTCCTATTGTCAGATACCAAATTAGCTTATCTCATTAGAGTCTGCTACCTATCCTCCTGCAGTTAAGCTAACTCACAGCCCTCTATTGACACAGCTATCCAACAGAAAGTCCCGTTCACTTGTTTATATAAGAAAATGGCCCAAGATATACAGTTAATAATTCTAATTTTTCAAAAAAGATTCTACTGTATACTTTAAAGAAAAATATGATGCAAAACAATATACGTAAAATAAGCATTGTAAATTATATAAGCGTACTTTGTTCAGGTAAGAAATATTCTCATTTCTTTTTCTTTTTTTGTGATCTCTTAAAGAATTTACAAACAAGGTTTGTTCACATCTCATTTTAACTAACATATAAGCAAGTACGTTAGTTAAATATCATACTGTAACTAGATATTATTTTATAAAATGTTACCAAACAAACCACAGTCAAAATCTGCTTTCTTGCAAACAAACACAAAAACATTTA